CCCCCTCTCTCTCTCTCTCTCTCTCTCTCTCTCTCTCTCTCTCTCTCTCTCGTGCTGGCCTTTGGGGTGAGCCTAGAGGCTTCTCAGTGATTACAGGCTCTAAAACAAAGCAGTCTGCTTTAGAGATGTGAAAGGAATTAACCGGCTCAGCAATGGCAACTGGATACTCAGCAGGGTGATCCAGTGAGAAATGTGAAGGCCTCATTAGTTACATAAACAGACAGATTCTGCAAGCTCATCATTATTGAGATACTCAGAGATCCACCTGTTTCTGCTTCCAGAGTACTGGGAATGAAGGTGGCTACTATCATGCTTTTTTTTTCTTTCCTTCTTCCTACCTTCCTTCTCTTTCTTCTCTGTGTAACAGCCTTGGCTTTCTCAGACTCACTTTGTAGAGCAAGCTGGCCTCAAACTCTGCCTCTGCCTCCTGAGTGCTGGGACTAAAGGCATGTGCTACTCTGCCCAGCCCATTAGCCTATTGTGGTTCTTAAATGGGTGTTCTCTTGAAGCAAAGGCAGTTTCTCAATATTGGTTCAGAGATTTACAAAGGTCTTCCAAGTGCTGGTATATTTATTTGCAACATATCAAACATTCACAAGTTTTACTGAATTTTATCCAGAAACATCTGGTAGGTAGGTACATTTTCTTCCTTTCTCTTTTTTTTTTTTTTTAACAGGCCCTCAAATAGCCCAGGTTTCCTGCTTTTTAAAAAATTTCACCACCAGGTGGTGGTGGCGCACGCCTTTAATGCCAGCACTTAGGAGGCAGAGGCAGGCGGATTTCTGAGTTCGAGGCCAGCCTGGTCTTCGGAGTGAGTGAGTCCAGTACAGCCAGGGCTACACAGAGAAACCCTGTCTCGAAAAACCAAACCAAATAAAAAAGAAAAAGAAAAAAGTGGGCAGACTTACATGCATAGTTGCCGCTCAGCTCCTAAGCTACTGCACAAGGGGTGGAGACTCTGGGAAGGAAAAGTACAGTATCTCATTAAAGAACTAATTATTCCGCCTCTCTCTCTAGTATGGCTTAAGGTGGTCCCTTAGCCAAAGTTACTGAACCAGCCCAGCTGGAATGTCAGGTCTCCACCCAGACTACAGATTCCATTCACTTGACCTGAAGTTTTTCTCTAGGCTGACCTCGAACTTCCCTGACCTAGCTTGCCAAGTAGCTGGGGTTAAGAGAGTAAGTCACCTTGCCCAGTTTAGAATTACTGATTTACAGATAAGCTGCAAAGACAGCAGAGATTTGAATTATGCTCTTTTGTTTGTTTGTTTGTTTGTATTTTTGGAGACAGTGTTTCTCTGCCCGGGCTGTCCTGGAACTCACTCTGTAGACCAGGCTGGCCTTGAACTCAGAAATCCGCCTGCCTCTCTGCCTCCCAAGTGCTGGGATTAAAGGCGTGTGCCACCACTGCCCGGCTCAATTATGCTCTTGACTCATCTGTTAATGTGAATATTGAAAATTATGGTGCTGCCGGGCGGTGGTGGCGCATGCCTTTAATCCCAGCACTTGGGAGGCAGAGGCAGGTGGATTTCTGAGTTCGAGGCCAGCCTGGTCTACAGAGTGAGTTCCAGGACAGCCAGGACTACACAGAGAAACCCTGTCTTGAAAAACCAAAAACCAAAAACCAAAAAAAAAAGAAAATTACGGTGCTTTGCCAAGACCAAGACATTGTTATATCACTCACTGCTCAGGAAATTATTCAGACATCACTAGTTATTCTTTTGATTCTCTAGAATGTTAATAGAATGAATTTGAAAAGTAGGATTGTAGTTAAATAATTACTTATATTAAAAAATTCACAAACCTTGGCATGGTGTGGAGGAGTCTTGTCTGTATGTAGTCTGAGCATTGCGGAAGCTGAGTCAGAAAAGGTTTTAGTTTGTAGTTAGGTTGTACAATGAGAGCCTGTTTACACA